AAGAAGGAATATTTATTGATGTTATAGGATCTCATTTTTCAGTAGAAGTACAGAATATCAGTCTTTTATACCATTATATTATAAATTTATAATCCATAATAAAACATGGTCACCATTTAAAACTAGATTTCAAATCATAATTTGTGAAAATTCACAGCTGTAAATGCAAAACTAATCATTATAGCTTTAAAAACACTCTTGTATAAATGAGCAACATAATTTTGCTACAACATAAAACTTCTTATAACAGTGAACTTCAAAGAAATCAACCTTTAGTTTAACCCTATTGTCCCAGGTATCCTTTACAGCTCATGACACAAGGTTTTAGTGTCTTACATTCAAAATTTTATTAAACTACATTTTGTTGACCTTATACCAATTACAATAGCATAAAATCTTAGCTAATAATCCAAATCTTAATAGTATACAAGTTTTTAAGTTCTTAATTCTACAAGGCAATATTTTAAAAAATCCTCAATCTCCACTAGTGTGGACCACATGACACATTTTCACTTAGCATGTAATCATCTCTATTTTATCCACCACCCCCCACTCTTTTTTTCACTCTTTGGTAAGTAAAGATATGAAAATACCTTACATCACATAAAATAACAAAAACCCACAGTCAGCTGCGAACTACAGTTTCAGGCAATTACCAACTCTCAGCCCAGCTAGGTCAACGATAAAGAATGACCACTAATGTAGGCTTACACATTATTGGGTGTGGAAAACCAGCTTTATGTACTTTTGTTTGGTGACATTCTTTAACAGCAACTTAGCTGATTAACTAAAGTCATTCACAATCATAGTTAGCTAAAGTCAGTTCTTAGTTCAAATTTACACCCCAGTGGCACAGCGGTATGTCTGCAGACTTACAACGCTTAAAACTGGGTTTCGATACCCGTGGTGGGCAGAGCACAGATAGCCCATTGTGTAGCTTTGTGCATACTTTCAAACAAACTAGTTCAAATTTTATTACTATTATTATTTTTCAAATAAGCATACTTGATAAAACTATCAAAGTCAAAATAGTTTAACAGTGCATTTCAATGAAGTATGATATTTCAAAAAAGTTATCAACAAAATTGTAAGTGAAGATGTCAATGTTTGAGACAATCAGTCTAACAGGAACAGCTTCATTCCTAAGTTTTCTTAAATATTTATGTACATATTCTCATGTACACATATAAGCCTAATTAGGCTTTGTCAAATGAACTTGAAAAAAACAGGCAATGAATAATAAAACCTTCAAGTACTGATAACTGTAACAATTATTGAATAACAATCAATTTGATATTCTTTAAAAAATACATAATTTAATGTGAGACAAAATCAACATAGATGGCTACAGATTAAGACAAAATAAAGGAAATTATTTTATGTATGGAACTGCAGAAGAAAGATTATTAAGTTAAGGGGAATCCATAAGATAATCTTATCTCAAATTCTTTCAGACTCTTGCTACACCATTATAAACAAAAAACTATACATCATTGTACAGAAAGGGTAATGTTCCTGTTAAAAAAAAAATCTCATATCAACCAGAAAACATGTAAATGAAAACTTACAAACCATACAAATTATTTTCAAAAAAAAAAAAGATCAATAAGTTAATTTTAACTGAAAGCCATTTCATTTACTACAGTCAACATAAAAGATAAAGTTTTAAAAGATAGTGATACTTTCCTATCAATTTTCTCTGTAACATAGTTATACTGCCTGTTCTAATATTAAAAGAATAAAACTATTTCCAGACTTCTGAATACCCAAACAGAGTAGTAAAAATATATGTCTCCAGTTAAGTCAAGATAAAATCATGGTAAGTACTCTCAAATTAATTATAATGTAAGCAGTCACACACAATTCCCATGGTTTGAAAAGTGCAAAAATTAATGATAATTTTTCTAAACTTTATTTTTATTTTTAACTTTATCTTAAAATTGAAGCATTAAATATTACACAAAAATTATTTTTTAATGATGCAGAAAATGTTTAATACAATATTATGCAATCCTGTTTTGATTATAGTACACAAGTTAATTTTTAAAAGTCAAGTTCAACCTACTTGTAACTGTAGTCTTACATTTATATATAATCACAAATTTTCTTTCATTTTTTCATTTCTAGTTGCGTTTCTGAACTATATAGTTGTTTAAAAAAAAGTGACATTTCAGGCCCTTTTTTTGCTCAATAAAATGGAAACACTTTTCATATACTGTATTGAAGAAACTAGCACAAAACATTCTTATAATCTTTTCATTGTCATATATATATCTTTTCATTGTCAACATATAACAATTCCAGCTATGACTTCTCACGAATCATTTAAAAAGTGATGATTCATGAAAAAATTTAACAGTCAATCAAGTAACTGAAAATATATTATTATTTTTACTTAACATATGATTAAAATTTCATTTATTTGATTTATCAAGTTTTCCACACAATGCTCATTGTAAAAAATGCAATATTACTAAAACTTTTTGTCATCATGGTTGTATTTTAATAAAATATATACAATTTAAAAAATACATTTTCTGAAGATATTGATACTTTGATGATTCTCATATTGATAGACAAAAGAGAAATCTTAAATCATCAAAATAAACTCCTGAGGAATTTGAGCATTATCAGCATTAAAATATATTGATTCTTATATCATTTGTTACTGAAGCAAAGGGAAATTTTTGAGGAAATTTCATCCATTGCTTCTATGTATTAAATAATATAAAAGTAATTTAACTAAGATATAATGGAAAATGCAGATTTTAAGAGTTAAATGAGAGTACACAAGTCGAAGGACATATAACAAGTCAATGAATCGAAGAACATATAAAAAACTAAAGAGGACAAGGAGATGCCTGTGTATTATAAATAATAAGCCACGAGAGATAAGTAATCAAACATGAGGTTAGAACTTCAGTAAGTAATAGCACAGCACATGTATAAACCTTGAAACAAGCATAGGAGTTTAGTGACCAAAGGTCACTATAGAGACAGTTAACAACCTCTTTTGTTCTAAACATGTTTGGCACATGCACGCCAAAGTACAAGGATAAGATAGAGGATGTTGGCTTCGATTCTTTAGCACTGTAGAAGCTACAGAAAAGTTTAGATTTTATGAATCATCACGGTGCTTTGATGCAGTATCAGTTACAGTACATGGGTGTAGCAGTACAAGCAAGTAGGCAGCTGGCTCACAGCAGTTGCCCATGACCAATAGCTTGAGGGTTTTTGGGTGTGGTGCCTGATAAGCCCAGGGCTTGCTTACAAGCAGCCAATAGGAGCATCGCACTACTTGTGGGTGATGCTGTGTCCTATTTGGATGCTCGCCTGGATACAGAGAAATCCTGCTATATAAACCCATGTCTGGAGCTAGAAAGTCAGTTCTTCAGCGAGACCCAGTACCTCCAGAGATCTCCAGCCAGCATTATGCAGCTTAATAACCTAGACTCTGCTACAAAGAAGGTCCCAACTCTCCAGTAAGTATCTCT